AAGTAAATTGCATGTGTACATTGCCTCGTACTACATCTGACATAATTACCGTGTAAATTCATGTGTACATTGCCTCCTACTACATGTGACATAATTACCGTGTAAATTGCATGTGTACATTGTCTCGTAGTGCATCTGACATAATTGCTAAGTAAATTGCATGTGTACTATTGCCTCGTACTACATCTGACATAATTACCGTGTAAATTGCATGTGTACATTTCCTCGTACTACATCTGACATAATTACCGTGTAAATTGCATGTGTACATTGCCTCATACTACATCTGACATAATTGCTAAGTAAATTGCATGTGTACGTTGCCTCGTACTACATCTGACATAATTACCGTATAAATTGCATGTGTACATTGCCTCGTACTACATCTGACATAATTACCGTGCAAATTGCCTCGTACTACATCTGACATAATTACCGTGTAAATTGCATGTGTACGTTTCCTCGTACTACATCTGACATAATTACCGTGTAAATTGCATGTGTACATTGTCTCGTAGTGCATGCGACATAATTACCGTGTAAATTGCATGTGTACATTGCCTCGTACTACATCTGATATAATTACTAAGTAAATTACATGTGTACATTGCCTCGTACTACATCTGACATAATTGCTAAGAAGATTACATGTGTACATTGTCTCGTACTGCATCTGACATAATTGCTAAATAAATTGCATGTGTACATTGCCTAGTACTACATCTGACATTATTACTAAGAAGATTGCATGTGTGCATTGCCTCGTACTACATCTGACATAATTACTACGTAAATTGCATGTGTACATCGTGTCGTAGTGCATCGCTTGATTTAGTTAGGAAGCAGGTGTGTATTTTCTTAAGATGTAAAGTGGATAGCATAATTGTTGTCCTACATTTCATAAGTTAAATGTTAATTAATAACGTTTTTTTTTACTGAAAATTTATTTTTGAACTTTTCTTTTATATACTCTCAAAGAACCTGGAAAATATTGACATGTATATTTTTGACAGACACACATATATTTTTCAAAGTTCTAGTTCACACATATTATGTATTCTCGAAGCCCGTTAAACGGAATACCACAAGATTGAATGAAACGTCGTTATTAGCTTTTCATATCATTTTCTATTTATTGTTATTCTTTAATGTGTACTGCACATTCACTACACCCATGGTCCCAAGCATTGTCCCATTTTATCGAAATCGATCCGAGGTTCTGTTTTTGATTGTTCGGGAACTATTTCACGTGTGTATTTGTGAAGCTTTGCGAGCATTTTAATTACAATATCGTGATGTTGATCTGATATTTCAGTTGTTTCATTAGGATCTTCATCTAAGTTGTACAGACGAACAAGACGTCTTACGTCATAGTCAGGATCTTCAATAGCTTGTTGGTCGGAATTAAACCAATAATTGTCATCTGAAATAAAACGTTTTTTTTTATAAATACCAGTCATCAGCTTTCATTTATATATTTAACAGTGATTGCCACTAGAGCTTCACATTGTTTACACCCATAATACGCGCTCAAGACTTCAACTGACGTGTTTGAAATTCTATGTATCATCTTTTGGGTCTCTACAGAAACGGAGTATACTTTGTTTTGCAGCAAAGTGCTTGCGAAACATGTTAAGGGTATAATAATCCGCTATAATACAAACACAATAAGCAACTAGTACATTCTCAAACTTATTGAATCTAAATGTTTACTCTGTCGAACTTTTCCTGAAATGCAATGAGCAAAGTGTCCCTTTTTCACACACATTAATATTCAGGATATTGCGTATATATTTTTTTTACTCACAAATGAAAGCTGTCAAATAATTTGTGTATCACAACCAATGATTTGTTATGAAATGCTTACATGTAAAGCCAGGGCTTCCAGTCAGTAGTTTCCACTTTCCCATTTTAATAGCCGCTGTTGTTGTTATATCAAAGGCATTATTTACGAACAAGCCAGTTTTATAATGAATATTAGCGTGCGTTGTTGACTCCAGTGTAATCAACACATCGCCTCGGTGGGATTTATCCAATCCTCTGTAAGACATGCAAATGAACAAGTCAATATGCATTATTTCTACTAATGAAGCTGATTTAGACACATATTAAATTTTCAGTCAAACGAAATAGTCTGGAACAAATATTTTGATATTTCGCAAACTATTCTTGTTAAAAAATTGGAAATATCTGATTTATTTCGAAGTTTGCACGAATACTTGCGTCATTTTCTATGCAATGAATAGTAATCTTAGTAATACACTGAATTTAGTGATGACGTATAACATGTCGCAGCTACCATCCATAAAAGCTCTGGCAAATCTCGCGTAAAAGTCAACCAATCTAAGCAAGGATTACAAACTTCTCAAAATGTAGCGAGGGGAGAAACAACACCTTCCTCTTAAGAGGTGTCACCAGTTTCAGATACACTTAAAAGTATATGAATATATTTCCTATATGAGCAATCACATGGGTCGGTCGCGGTGGGCGCACTTCATTCCCGTACGAGAGCGTAGCGATCTCAAGGTAACACGATACATCCCACAATACAACTTTACGAGGTGGTTCAGTTGGAAACAGTTAGGGTAGACGGTCAGAGCGGGACCGGGAGATTGGCGACGGGAGAGTTTGGTCGTAGACTGCGTGGACGACAGTTTGGTTCAGTACGGTTCATCATATCACGTTGATGTACAATTAGGCCCTGGAACGTGCAACTCTGGGTGTGTGTTATATTATAAATGATGGAAATGACATGCAGTGACTTGTGTAAATAGTGTGGTCGTGAGCAGTTAAACATCATCTATGCGATAACCAGAAGGCACCATCAAAGCCAAGCAACATACCCCAAATTCAACCTAGACAGCGTCACTTATTTCCCCGGGTGACGAACCACATCATAATTTGTACACAAACCATTTTCATGAATTTTAAAGCTTGCGTGCAAATATCCCATAACTTTAATTTCATATTTTGTTTAAGCTATGTTCTATTCACGCATTGTATACGTCGCTATATATTCCATATCGAACAAGGCGCGGCGCACCGACGACCACCCTTTAAGTTAATTGATATTTCTTAATCGCACTTACAAGATCATATTCCACTGATCAACACCGTATAGCTTCTTCTTTCCATATGGATTGCCACCCGCCAATTTTACTAATGTCGGAAACCAGTCAGTGATGTGCATCAACCCAGTGTTTTCAGTACCACGTGATTCCTGGGGCAACAAATCACTATAAACAAATGCAACTGCTCTCACACCGCCTTCCCAGTTCGAACCCTTTCCTCCTCTCAGAGGCCAATTGTTACCTGCAGAATTTGCTATTGCCCCACCATTGTCTGTGGATATGTAAATGAGGTTATTATGCAAATGTTCTTGTTTACAAAGGTTGACGTACAGTTTAGTTATCCGAAGAGGATGAAGTCACTGAAACTGTTTTTCATTTCTCTTAATCTAGTACGCCAAGCTGGATGGAAGAGGGTTGGACACATTTAATGAAATAACAAACAATATATTCCCCAGCTTATGCAAATCGCGTGTGCATGTGAAACGAGTTGACCTTCGCTCCCTAATTACAGAACGGAATACACCGCTTATCAAAAATATCACAAATAACTACGTTTAGTCAGTGAACACTAGTGTACATTTTCAATGCCCCGTGTACAGTAGTCTTATATAAGTTTACTTATTGTTTTTATTAGTTTATTAGTCATTGGCGCGGAGAACAAACCATTATACAGGAGGGGTTAGATAACAATATGTAGTATTTTTTTTAAATATAATACTTTCTGTGGGTATACTGCAAAACGCACGGACATAGATAAGAAAGTAAAACACATCAGTGTTGTACAGTGGCAAGATCCATTGCGCATGCACGTGCGCATGGGTCTCGTATAAACAAATTAATAAAGATGGCAACTTTGACTGTTAATTAATTATAATCAGTACGAACTGAAATGTTACCATGCTTTAACTAGATAATTCCTTTGGTGATTGGAAGATACTAAAGAGGTCAAGGGCGATAATTTATGTAGGTCGCGCCAAAGACTAAAACCAAAATCGCTACAAAATCATAGCTTTCAAATTGCAAAGGCATATATGACAAACTACTAGTAGTTATTTCATGACTATTGTCGTAAATCTATATTTTAGTCACGTTTGGAACCTTCTAAACACAAAGACCGTTGTGTACAATATCGACGGCTTGTATAATTATAAATACAAATAAGACCAATAAGAACGACATATAGGCAACTGAACTGTTATATTAGTAATGTCGGAAACATTAGAACACGTAATGATGAGATTTGATTTACTGTTATGGTTCGAGGTGTTTTCTTACAGGTTAAAGACAATTTATAATAGACCATTTTCCGTACATTGCGAGAATCACGCGTTATGCGTGAAATCGAACGTAAAAACAGGACAAACAAAGGTCATAGCGTCGTAGTGGTGTCAAACATCGCGTGAGATTCGACAAACGCGAAAATATTTTGGGGGAATTTCCATGCTTAATAATGTTCTGTATACATTTGATGATATACAATTTCGATTAAGTGAGGGTATTTGAAAGCAATATTCCCCTGTCGAAGACTGGCCTGTCGATGTGAGCTACGAAATAAAGAAATTCGAGTTGAAAATCAAATCGTTCAATTTTTTCGACAGACGTTCGACGCGCGTCTTTCATGCATCTCGCGAGATCTCTCAGTTGAACGGAAAATCACATATTTATTCATGTCGTGACAAGCCGCGTTGGGTAATGTCAGACAAGCTCAATGCGTATTATTCTTATAAAAACCGCATTATTCTTATAACACGTGAATGGCTTTAATAGCGTGTGTGATTTAAAATTATATTCACCCCATCAACAAAGATAAGTTAATAATATTAGGTACATCTAACAAGTATTACCAGAAGTAAAAACAATCACACTGTTTTTCAACATATCATTCCTCTCTAGTGCATGGGTGATATTCGCTATAGCTTCGTCCACACATGACGTCATCCCGGCAAATATTCTTCTATCCTCGTTCAGTATGGTTGTCTCGTATTGCTTCACGTATGACTCTGGGGCCTGCAGAGGCGCGTGCACTAAGGCAAAGGACAGGTACAGAAACAGTGGCTGTGGCAACAAAATCATTACATACGTCAGTTCTAAAAGTGTATAGTTTAATTGTCAGTCGTTTGTTTTGTAGTCTTATTGGTTACAATCAAGTTGTTAACATTTTCAAGATGATTTGTAAATGTAATCCAAATTATTGTAGATATACTGTTACTAATCTACCTACTGTTTATTATCATAATAGATAATATAAACAAACAAAAAACAGCGAAAAATATCAACATTGCAGACCAAATGAAAGGTTAAAGCATATGCGTTAATACAAAGCAAGGTGGAAAACCAAACAAATCATATGACGTATTTTGGGGGGAAGGGGGGGGGGTAAAATAGCTATATATAATTTATCGGACAAAATCATGATGCCTGAAACGTGTTTTTTACGCAAAAGGGGCTTAGGCTATAATACCACATACCTAATTTCAAAAACAAATACTCAAAATCTTTGCTATGTTTAAGCTAAAGTAATATGGCGGCAAAAATCACGTGACTGGTCCGAATATTTTTTCTGATGTCTGAAACAGTATATGGATGCAACATAGCGAGTTTAAATCAATCAGCTAACCGTGTGTACAATACTACTTCCCCTAATAAGCTGAAATACAAAATCACAACCAAACCACGTGACCAATTATTAAGAGAGTTGTAAACATCAACTTTATACATAGCTAAATACCAAATTTAATACAAAATTTACCAATAAAAATATTTCAAATAAATGTGTTGGGTCTAAAAAAGTGATTTTCAAGCATGTTTTGGTGATTTCCCTCCTTTTTCAGAATGTTCAATATGACGAGAAGAGTTTTTATTTGTGAAATAATAGCCATATACCAGTTATGCTACAACAAAACACAGAATGCCTAGACCCTCAGAAGGGGTTCAAGATGTTCACTATCGATTTTACTTCAGTCCAAGTTGACCAACAAAGTAGTGGAGGGAACTGTTCAAATTTGTTCACTGCACGCCTTCAATTTAAGACCAATAAGTTGACCAAGAAATAAGTAATTTAAATGTCTGATTGATTGCTATTGAGATTTTTATGACCAAAAAATCCATTGAAGAAAAAAAGACATAAGTAACATACAAGCTTCATTTGTAACCTTAATAATATGCTACTCAAACATACAAACAATGTCATTAATGACAATTTTAATGTTCGCCGCGACCCAATTGAAATTATTTAAACATATTCATATGTTTAATTCACTTTAAAAAAATCGTTTTAACTTGATGAAAATATTTTATATGGTAAGGCATTTAAGGCATATTTCTTTCTGAAAAGTTACTTTTAACTTAAGTTCATCAACCGAGACCTCATGTAAGCTGTTTGATTTTCTGATCACGATGATAATGTTGTATTAATTTGGAGGATTTTGAAATATGTTGAAACACAAGTTTTGTGATCATGCATCTACAATTTTTGCTAATCAACTTTAGCAGTTTTAAATAAATGTGGCCACCCACTCATGCAGCGAGGGTGACTATAATTATAATATATAACATTTAATTAATAATTTCGGCAACTATTTATGTCTAAGTGATATTCAATTTGGGAAATTCTTTTTCATGCATCTTTGCGATGTAATATAAATAACTTAAAGAAATATTAGTAATCAATTGTTATGCACATCGCACAAACGCTCTAGATGTCCCTCTTTAATGTCTTAAGTAAAACAATAAACGTGCATGTTTTTGGGAATCCTTTCTCATAGATCACAGGTAAGCTGGATCGTGATGTGTCACTATTTACCCAACTTTTAGAACAAGTGACTGTGTATGTGAATATTTATTTTTGTGCTATATAAATAGAAATTGTATGAAACGCACTTATAATGTACACTATTTTCAAATTGTATCTAAATCAATATTCAAAAAGAATCTATCTGTGGTTCAAGTAATAAGTTAGAATTACTGATCACTTCACAACTTATGTGTAACATATTGCGATGCCAGTATGCATACGTAGCGTATAATATTAAATGCGCCCCGTCACAGACTATAATAACTATTGTTCTTATTAATATCTTATTCTAGTCAGCTATTGACCACGATTTCCTAGATACGATGGTTATAATATTTCATCACGATCAGCCATTGGCCTAAATTCTGATTAATTGAATGAAATGTAAAAATTACACATTCCACGACTTGGAGTATTGCCAAACGCAGCATTTAAATTAATCAAAGAAAACATAGTTATGTATTTCTCAAGATACAACATCCGGTACTGTGTGTATGACGTATGTATACATGTTAATGATTTACTAGCATCGTAGACGGCATCAACGACCCAAAAGATTGTATTACTTACTTTACTCTGATCATGCGCATTGATAATGTCCACTCCTTCCGTTGCATACACAAATGTAGAAAAATTACCACCATATTGGCTTACTACACAAACATCATTTTTTCTGAGATTTGGCATATTTCGTTCAATGTATGTATAATGGTCTATCCCTGGACCAAGGTAACCTACACAAACCCCACACATTTATAATAAAAAAGAAAATAAATAATTTAAGTTAGAACATTTAAACGTGTCGCTTATTTATTTGTTTAACACTGGTCTGGGCTATTTATTTACTAATGATTCACAAAATATGTCACAATGTTCAATTCAGGTCATCCAATTTCAATATTTATCTCATGCCCAATTGATGAATTGTATTTTACGATACATCAGTACTATTATTGTGTTGATGTGAACATAAAGATATAGCATTAGTCATACCAGTCTTGATACCGTGAATTATATTTACGGATACTCACCAAAAAATGTGTCAAATCCTCTGTTATGTGGGAGGTATCTGTCAGAAAAAAATCCACAATGCCATTTGCCAATTATGTGTGTAGAATAACCTGCTGTTTTCAGTTTTTCTCCTAAAGTAGTCTCATCTAAGGGCAGACCTCGAGGATGGTATCCTATTACACCAGATCCCAGACCCAAGTGTATCTTGGAATAAAAACAAGAATACTGAGTTAAATACGGTGGTATATGCAATATATTGGAAATGTGCTTAAATGTTTGGATATTTCCACATATACACAAAGGTACTTTCTGATCAACGAGATAAGCTGGTGCTTTAACATGACGTAAGTAGACAGAGAAAACAAAGTATTATATTCAAATAAATGTATCATTTAGCAGTAACGCAAACTAAGTATCAAACTTATTTTTGAGTGTTGCTTAGCGAACATCAGCTTTTTATATAATTTTACCAGCTGTATATAAGTTATTTAAGAACTCATTTCTAATTAGCGAACGTCGGATATGGAGTATGTCATGTTTACTAGGCTACTAGCATAATACGACTCTGCGTTGCATTTCTAAATTTCTAGATAGAACATCAAAACTGCTTATTTTAGAAATTCTAGATAAAAAAAATAGATTCAGATTTCGACACATATAACTCGCGAACATCATACATGCTAATCTTAAACATCCAATAATAATAATAACAATTAAAGCGCGGTGGTCGTCGCGCAGCGCGTGTTCGAATTTCATGTAAATAAACAATGTATTTTACACACGTTGTATACGTCGCTATGAGTCCCATATCGAACAGGACGCGGCGCGACGACTGCTGACAACTTCCATCAATACATACTATTATTATACATCTGTCGCCGTAACGCCATAAGTTACAGCGTGCTGTGATTTTGCGATATTTTACGGGGTATTTTCATCCTACCATATAAGAAAATGCGAATTCCAAATATGGAATGATTACGCGCGTAAGCGTCCTCCAAAAATAAAAAGAAACGTGGCTGCCACCAGGGTTTGACCGGACTCCACACAAAGATGTTCGTTGATTCTGTGCTAAACTTTTTGGATTTCGGTATTCCCATGATGTATCCTTGGAAGGAAAAGATGTATAATAATAAGGTTATTACGAGGACACCTCAAAGTATGCTATCAGACAGTACGCTGTCGCATCGACCTCCGCTGCGCGTCGGTCAATACTCGTAATAATAACCTCATGCAACTCGCATTTTAGCTGCCCACCTTTCTAATTATTATATAAATAGTATTGTGGTTTTTTACAAACAATAAATACACAATTGGTAGGATTGAGATACGACACACTATAGGCACACAAACACGAACTACCAGCTCCCTACAACTGAAACATTCACACCCTCAAGTTCAAAGCTCTTGGCGAATGTCGAATGTCGACTACTGCATGAAATGTATCAAAATCCTTAACCCACGATATCAAATTAAATCTGTGTTGTATCTGCAGTTTGGAAATTCCACGTGATACACCCTGTTGGATATTATTGACAAACCTCCCAATTAACTAGTGATAACCTGATTGATCGATGCTCGCAATACGAAATTCCGGCAATATTATTTATATTATAATTTATAATAATATTAATAATTGTGTTACTCCGCTCCATGTCACAATAACGTGATTAACGTCTAGATGATATAACAAAGATTGGATAGGATTACCTTCGAAGTTGGACTGGCTTAGTCGGG